AAGAGGGGATTATATTCCCCTACATGCAGCCAGGACTTCCCTATGCTGAACAAGCCCTGCTCCCTCAGCACAAGCCCATGTGCTCCAACCCAGTGACCATCTCTTGGAGTTTCGGCAGGGTTTGGGTTGGAATGGACCTTCAAAGCCCCTGTGGGGGTGAGCTTTACCAGAGAAGCTGTGTGCTGTGACTCTTCGGGCTGCCACTGGGCCGTGGTTGTGTGAGGCACACAGGAACATGGAGCAGATGCATCCTGTCACACAACATTGTTCAGCTGCTCACCAGAAACCAGCAGCTTCCTCCAGGTTGCCCAGAACAATCAGCTCCCTGTGAGGAGTCCCAGTACAGAGGCAAGCTGACTTTAAGAGTTGCCTTTGCCTTGATCCCTGCCAGTGATATCCTAAGTTAGACTCCTCTGAATTGCCTTTGGAAGAGGCACCGGGGCCCGGAAGCCGAGTGTCCAGCTTGCCAAAGCAGGAGCGAGGTGATGTGAAATGCCCCGGGGGCCGCGGCGCCGCGGCTCTGTGCCGGAGGATCAGGCCCCTTCCCCGGCATTGCTGAGGTAATGGCTGCCGCGCTCGGGGCGCGGCTCCCGCAGTGACAGCTGATCGCTATCGGAAAGCCGGGCTGCGGGGCCCTCCGTGGAGCTCTCCTGCAGCTCATAAATTAGTGCCCAGTGCCTGTGAGCGAGAGAGCAGCTCAAATGATGAGAAAGCAGCGTGTTCTCGGCGTGTTCTCGGGGTGTTCTTGGGGTGATCTCAGGCTCTGGCTGTGGCTGGTGGCCGTGGCCAAGTGACCTGCTGCTTTCACAGAAACCTTGCTCAGGATGAACGGAAGGGAAAGTTGGCCTCTTTTATCCAAGGGAGAGGATTTCCCCCGTCCACGTTCCACACGCGGAGCACGGTGTCCAGCTCTGGGGTCTTCAGCACCACAGCGGCATTGACCAGCTGGGGAGTCCAGAGGAGGCCACAGAGATGCTCTGGAGCCCCTCTGCTCTGAAGCCAGGCTGGTAGAGCTGGGGGTGTCCAGCCCAAGGCAGAGACACTCCATGGAGACCTTATTGTGGCCTATTGAGACTTTAAGGGGTTTATGGGAAAGAGGGAGAGGGACTTTACATGGGTAGACAGTGACAAGACAAGGGGAAATGGCCTTAGGCTGAAGGAGGGCAGGATTATATTAGACATTAGGGAGAAGTCTTTCCCTGTGAGGGTGGTGAGGCCCTGGCACAGGGTGCCCAGAGCAGCTGTGGCTGCCCTTGGAACCCTGGAAGCGTCCAAGGCCAGGCTGGATGGGGCTTGGAGTAACCTGGGATAGTGGAAAGTGTCCCTGCCCATGGCAGGGGGGTTGGAACTGGATGGGCTTTAAGATCCCTTCCAACCCAAACCATTCTGGGATTCCAGGATCTCTGTAGGCTCTCCAGAAGACAGGATCCTCCTCCCCTTATGAATAGGCTGTGGCCCTGGTCTGAGCTGGTTCTGAGGGCTGCAGCTCCACACTTATGCTTCAAGGAGTTCCTTTCAGTGACATCTGATGGTGACACTGCAGCATCTCCCCATTCAGCACAAATGATGTGATGCATGCACAAACTTTGAAAAAGAAACCTTGAGCACAAATACAATAAAGTTGCAGGGACATGTTCAGGGAATGTTTAAGCACAGGTGTCTGTACCTGCCACACCACAAGGAACTCAGCAGTGCTGTCAGTGCCCTCCACTGTTGACAGGGGTTTGTCCTTTTCAAGTCTTGCTTTCTTTTTCCCCTTTTGAAATTGCTGATTCTAAAATATTCTCCTTGACATTTTCTCTACACTAGCAGGAGGGGGTTTTGTTGGTTCTGGAAGCACTTGAAAACAGGGGATATTGGCCAAGACATTCAAAAGTTAAATTAAAATCTGACTCTGCAAATAGCCAATGTCAGTGGTGTGAATAACGTCCCTCTTTGGGAAAAGATGTTGAGGCAAAGGGCAGAATTGGCTGGGACTGAAATGCAGCTTTACACATACAGATAAAACTGATCTAGGGTTGGATAGAGTGCTTTCTAAGGGAGATATTGGATATTTGGTTTCAAAATTATTGGTGCCAATTGAGAAATGGTTGATGGGTTAAGGTCAGGACATTGCTGAGCTTGCCCTGTGTGGTTGGTGTGAGCTTTGTGAAGCCTTGGCGGTGAGAACAGGATTTACGGGTAGGAAATCTGCAGCCATCACTGTGGAAAGCTTTAATCATGGGTTATTGTTGGTGTCAGGGGTTTCTGTGTGCTCCTATGGATTAAAGAATGTATGATATGTCTAGAATTCCAAGAGGGATGTAAACAAGCCTCACGCTCTATAGAATCTTTTCCTGCTCAGAGGTGTTGCTGATGTTGATCAGAACACCCATGCCAGTTTCCTCTTGAGAAGTGTTCATTTACTGACAGCAAAGCACATGAAATGTCATCCCTGGTGAAACATTGCTCTCTGCATCTGTGCCCACATCTCTGGGGCCAGAGTTTCCACATTCTTGCCTCTTGCAGAGCTGTTGCGGTGGAAGCCTTTCCCCTTTAGAGCAATGTTGGGTTTTTTCTTTTTTTCAGTAAAAAGACAAACAAAGCTATTTTCTGTTTCAGAATGCAAGATGGGATATCTCTGGAGAGATTAACCTTCTTTACAGAGTTGTTTTTTGTGGTTGAAAGAAGAAATCTGTTATCATTAAAATAATATTTTAAAAATCTGCACCTCGTTATTTCCAGAAATAAAGCTGCCACATTGAGATTTATTAAAAATTGACTCGGGGTGAACTGAAGAGAGCTCCTGCACCAAAGAGTTTGTGTTTTAGAAAAAAGACAGGAAGACAATAGGATGGACACAAGGGGAGCAAGAAGAGGGAATTGCTCTGCAAATTTAGTAAGAAAATATGTTCTTTTTGGGAAGGACTCTGAGAAGTGGCTTGGCAGATGTGCAGGAGGGTTTAACTCAGCCCCTCTTCACATGTTCAGTGCTTGGCTGAGCTCAGTCACCGAAGGCAAAGTTGGGAGAGAGGCACAAAGGTCAGGACTGGCACGGCCAGGGAAATGTAGAGGGCAAGAAGCACGAGCAGGAGAATGTGTCCTGTCCTTTTCCTGCCCTGCCCTTTCCCTCCTGTACCTGAGCCCCTGGGGAGCTGCGGGACCCCTGTGCTGTTCCCCTGGCTCCTGCTGTGCCCCAGCCCTTTGGGAACAGCAGTAAAACTGTGCCCCGGCACATCCATGAGAAGAGCTGTGCTTTGGCATTTGGCAGTCTCCGGGGTGCAGACAGAGTGCTGAGGCAGCAGTTTTTGTGAGCAGGCTGCTGCTGCCTGGGGTGCCAGATCCCTCCAAGCTGTTCTGAGCCTCTGCCCCCTTCTGCACCTCTGGGTGGGGGTCATTCTTTTTTTCTCCTTGGCTTTCTGTTTCCCTTCCTTTTTACCTCGGGGCCATCAACAGATTTGTTTCCTGATCTCGGTGTCTGCTTTGAAGACAAATTCTCACCTTTTAGTTACCGAAGGAATGTGAGGAATGAGGCCCCACGGCCACGGCCTCCCACCCAGCTGGGAGCTGTTCCTACATGCTGGGCAGAGGGAGCAAGGTGCTGCCCTCCCTGGGAACAGGCTGGGGCCCTCGAGCAGTGCGGGTGGGCAGCGCACGGCAGGTGGCAGCAGCGTGGGCAGGGTGGGGATGGACTTCCAGTGCGGATCTGAGCATTTCACCCCTCTGAAATTCTTGTTTGTAGTGCCAGTCCTAGAGCTACAGGTCCTGGGCCACCATGTAGGGTTTCAGCTTGTTTTAGTTTTCTTGACAATATTAACTTCAAGGGCAGATCCATGACTAGGTCAGAGAGTAGAAGTTGCTACGAGGCTGTGGGGGCTCCTGGATGTTTGCAGCACATGTGGCCTGGGCAGGGGGCAGGGGAAGCTCCCACCCCATGGAGCTGGTGTGACCTTCGGTGTCACTGTGTTTGTATTTCCTCTTACACCTGCACCTCTCAGAGGTGGACAAGGCAGAAGAGCTCTGGTGCATCCAGCTTTCTTCAACTGTCACTGTCCCTTGCAAGTGGCTGCTGACTCCTGCCATGATGAGCCCTGTGCCATGCTGTGGCCAGAGCTGGGGTTTGGGTTTGAACCACAGGCAGCGTGAGTTTGTGCTGGTGTCCCCAGGCTCTGCAGTGGGCCAAGGCACTTCCCTTCCTTCAGGGAACAGCTGGGAGCAGGGAATGTCCTAAATTGCCCTCCCTGTTTGCAGGTGTGAACATAGGGAGTGACACCTCAGAGTGCATTTGTCCCAAAGCAATGATCCACTTCTCACCTTCACAGGGGCCTTGAACAGACACAGAGGGAAGAACTCCTTTATGCAATCATTGTTCACCCCAGCTGGATGTGGGACTCACACGCACATTTCATCCAGCTGAATTCCAGTGCAGGGTGACACCACTGCCAGCCTGGCTCCACCCATGGCTGTGCCTGCTGCCAGGGGTCCCGAAGCCCCCATCTCACAGCACTGGGGGCAGGAGGCTTGGGGGTGATGTCAGCCTTTTCCTGGCTCTGAACACCACTCAGGAAAGCTTTGCTGATGTGCCCTCCCTGCCCTGTGGATGACTGGCAGCCGCAACAATCCATGCAAATACTTCCAAGGATGGAGGAGACTCCACACCACTGTCTGCCCTGGAGAGACAGGGAATGTCTATCCCAAGAAAGCCATCCCAAGAAGATGCTCCAGGGTCTAAAGCCCCTCTGCTCTGGAGACAGGCTGGGAGAGCTGGGGATGCTTGCCTGGAGAAGGCTCCAAGGCGACCTTTCAGTACTTAAAGGGGGCCAATAAAAAAGATAGGGACAGAGTTTTTAGCAGGACCTGTTGCAACAGAAGTTGAGCTGAGAGTTTTGAACTAAAATAGGGGAGATTCAGACTAGATGTAAGGAATAAGGTTTTTACAACGAGGGTGCCTCCTAGGAGTAGAGGAAGCCCCCATGATGGAAGTTGCACTGACAGTCTGCTTTCCCCCCCTGCCCTTGCAGAGCACAGTTGGGGAGAACCGGTGGCTCCAGGGACATCTGGTGCAGTCGCTGCTCCGTCACTGCGACGCGTGTGGGGCGGCGCGCTGGGCACAGCACTGCCGGGTGCCCTCTGAAATGCTGCCTCAGGCTGTGGCTGAGGAGCTTCAGAAGCTGCACGTCCAGGACAGGTAAATCCCCTGTGTGGTGCCTTTTCCATGAAGATTGCTTGTCATACAAACACTATATTTGCTTTAAATTGTCTGCTGTGATACGTCCATGGGGACAGAAGTTTGCAAAGACTTCCCCCATACACTTGAATTCCATTGTGGCCCTGCACATACTGCATTTGTTCGTCATAAGCCTGGAAATGTCTGTGAAAGGGGCATTTTAAACTCATCCTGAGTACACAGAAGCTCTGTGAAATTGCTTCATGCTGCTGAGGGTTCTTACACTTCCTCTGCCAGATCAACAATGCAAATATTCGTCTATTTTACTGAGGTGATTGCAGATCTGCCAAAGTTTTACTAATTATTATTTTTTAATGCTGATGATTTTGGGAAGGTCTCACAGATGGCTTTGAACAGTTCATGTTCAGGGAACCTAGTTTTGTGGATCTGCTCTTCCTTCTCATGCAGATCTGCACTTTTTCAAGCACTGTGTCACCTCAGGAAATACAACACAGATGTAAGCACCATCAAAACACTTCTCCAGAGGGTCCACGGCTTTTTTGGAGCAGAGGAAACTCTTGTCAGCCTTGGACATGCTCCTGCCTCGCTCCAAAGCAGAGCCAGAGCTGCCCTCCTGCTCCCTCCTGAAGCCACAGCAGCCGCCAGTTGGGAGCCAGGAGGTTTTTCCATGAGGGATAAGCCCTCAAAACACAAAGGGGTGATTACAGGTGTGTGGCTGAGCCACAGCCTGTGCATCCAGAGATAAAACCCATCACTACATCTCTGTGCTGTGGGAATCCTGTGCTGTGGAGGGAAGGCAGGTGAGGGTGTGCTTTGCCCTGTGTGAGGAGCTGGGATGGATGAATAAGCCCCTTTGTACTGCAGTTTACTCATCCAGTCATGATACCAGCTGTGGTAGCTGCTATAAAGTCAGCAGAGCCATGAAACCCCATAAAACAGTCTGGCTGCCCTGTCTATTGAGTAACACAGCCACAGGTTCCCAGAGGGAGTTCACACTGCACACAACAAGGTGGCACCAGCATATAAATGACATCATCTGTCTCTGGTCACACCACACAGGGCTCCTGGGCTTTGCAGGTGAGAATATTCCTGGAGACCTGAGGCTGCACACCTTCATTAAATATTTTACACAAATATTGACTTCCCCATGCACACAAACCCACAGGAAAGTGTTTGTGCAGGGAGAGCTGCTCTGCTGCAAAATTGGGCACACAGCCTCCCAAACATAAGGTTACCAATAGTTTCCCAAATAATGAACCATTTCAAGTCTCTATGGGAAAAAGACTATCCGGAAATGTGTGATCTCTCCAAGGGAGCTGGATCTTTTTGATTAGTTTCTTTTCTCTGAGAAGGAGCTGAGTGTCATGGGGAAAGAGAGGATCAGGGTGAAATAAGGGATGTAAAACTTAACCCTCTTGCTCCAATCCAGGATTTCCTCCTGGCTTTCCATGGCTTCAAAGTGTTGCATCTGATTGTGTGCAGGGTAGAAGAGGTCAAAAAAGCAGATAATTATGAGGCCAGTAAGAAGAAGGACTATTACCAGCTTCCTATTCCACGGGAAAATATTCACTTTCTGCAGACATGGGAGGAGACGCTGCAGTGCTGGGAGAAGGTGCTGCAGGTGAGTGTTACCTGGGGTTGGCCTGGCACGGTCAGGGAGCTGGAACTCCATGTCAGGCTGAGACACAGAGTTGGATGTGGCCACTGCCGTCCACTGCCTACCTCTCCAAGCCAAGAGCAGCTGCTCCTTTGGGCTGGTGTGATTTGGGGAAGGTGTTAGGAATTGTGCCAGGGAAGTTTCCCGTGGTGACAGTTCCCTGTGTCTGTGGCAGTTTGCACAAAAAGCTGCAGGTGCTGTGGAGGAAATGTTCACGTCCTGGACAGATTCTCCAGGCTCCTCTCAAGCACAGGCAGGCTCTGGGTGCAGAAGGTGTCTGTGTTGCAGCCTGGGCAGGTCGTTGGTGTGGACATGGAGTGGAAGCCTTCCTTTGGCATGGTGGGGAAGCCCCGCGTCGCCCTCCTGCAACTTGCACTGAAGGATGAGGTGTTCCTGTTGGACCTGCCACGGCTCCTCGAGCAAGCTGAGGCTGAGGGGGAAAAGGAGAAGCTTCCCCGTTTCATCCAGATGCTCTATTCAGATGCAGCCATCACTAAACTAGGTAACACCCCTCTCTCTTCCCCACCTCGGGACTTCACACGGACTGTTTTGTTATTTTTGTCATTCCTAGATGCACTTGGTGTTGTCATTCCATAAATGCACTTGCCATGGAACCAGCTTTTGTAGCCTTAGTGTTCGGGCACTGCCAGGCCAGGAAACAGTGACTAGTGTAACTGGGAATGATAGAAATACAGGATTAGAGAACCACAGAAAATCCTCAGCTGCAAGGGACCCACCAGCATCTTCAAGTCCAGCTCCTGTCCCTGTCCAGACCCCCCACCAACCCCACCCTGGGCATCCCTGGCAGCGCTGGCCAAAGGCTCCTGGAGCTCTGGCAGCCTCGGGGCCGTGCCCATTCCCTGGGGAGCCTGGGCAGTGCCAGCACCCTCTGGGGGAAGAGCCTTGCCCTGAGCTCCAGCCTGACTCTCCCCTGACACAGGTCCATGCCATTATATCTCCCCATGTCAGGTCAGATCCAGGATTCCTGATATAATTTGCACTCTCAGACTTGGGATTGTCCTAGCTCTGTACTAATCCCCAAATGACACCCAGTCTTCAATGGTTCAGGTAATTCTGGTGGGCAGAGCTGTCTAGGTGTGCTGTCCCTGTCCCAGAGCTGCTGTGCTGGACACCAGAGATCTCTGAATTACCATACATGGGTTTTGGAGGCTTTTATCAGGAACTGCTAAACCTGGGTTTCAAAGGCAAATTCATAAATACCTTTCCCAGATTTTAAGTAAGTTGATCTTAAACTCAGAATTTTTCATGCACCTCTCTTTTCCCTTGATCTGAAGGACTGTCTCTTGGGAACAGAAGAGACGGACCCAGTCTTGTTCCCTATTTGAACAGTCTCCCCACCAATGCTTATAAATATTTTGTTAGCATTTTGACTCTGAACTAGAAGAAGTTGCAGTACATTAAGTGTGATTTGAGCTTTCCTGCCTGTGTGATTTGGACTTATTTTGTCTCCAGGTTATGGGATGTCTGGAGACCTCAGCAGCCTTGCAGCCACATGTTCTGCTTTAAAAGACACAGAGAAGCAAATGCAAGGTGTGGTGGATCTTCTTGCAGTGGACAAACAAGTAAGGATAAACATATGGAGATGTGGGAAATGGTGTCTCCTGCATGTGCTGGTGGGTAATTGTCCTGAATCCACAGCACTGTCTGTTTGCATCCTGGATTGGCAGGGAGATGGCTGCATGAGTAAAGAGACCATTTCCTCCAGATGGTTTGAGGTGTTGGGATTCTGTAAAGGAAGATAGAAGTATTTTGTTTTCATCAACTAAAATGCTAAAGCTTGTGGTACTGACAGCTTTTTCATAGCCTTTATAAAAGCTGTGAAAAGCTCTTGGAGACCCAGCTCCATTCAGCCAGGACAAGGTTTCTCAGCACAAGTTATACTTAGGAAGAGGAAGTTCTTGTACAAATTCTGCTACTCCAAGGCCATGCATTATTGAAGCAGATATGGTGGAGTTAATGATTTGTACAGAACTCTGTTGTTCCTAGGAGGGTTGCTGATGGGTTCAGCACAGGAATTTCTGGTCAGCTGAAGCACATCTGTCCCCGAATTTGCACAGAGGAGCTTTCAGCAGTCTGCAAAAATGTTCAGCATAACCATTTTAATGGGTAAAATGTACAGAGTGTTTTTGAGGCTGTGGGTTGAGGTGAAGCAGATCTTTGGGATTGATAGCTTAACCTGGGAAGTGCTGTAGGGGCTGACATAGCTGCCAACAGCCATTGCCTCAGTTTAAGGTGAGAAATGGCAGCTGCAGAGGGGGCTGCTGCCCAGAGTGTCACAGGAATGCCTTTTCCCACTGGGACGAGGAGGAGGAAGGTGCTGAACTGCCACTGCTGGTTCTTTATTGCATTGATGCCCAGCAGCCTACAGCATGGTGAGCACCCTGCAGACCCCTAAGGAGCCTCATCCCAGTCCTGCTTCTCTGGTGCAGGGCTGAACAAGAATGCTCTTTTTTCCCTTCCTTGGCTATGGAAGAGATTTCTCTCCAGCAAGTGTGTTTGTTAAAGAAATAACCCAACACCATGTTTATCTCGTGCCATCCCAGCTCTTGGCTGAGGGCTGGGGTTCAGTATGCCAGGCACGAGAAGGATGTGATAGGGCTGTGCCTGGCCCCACCAGCGGATCAGGAGGTGGTTTGGGAGCTGCTTCATAACCAGGTGGTTTCTGTCTTTTTGTTTCCATCAGCTGCAGTGGGGGAAGGACAGCCGGAAGGTCGATGGACTGTCCCCAGAGCGCAGCCACGAGGAGAGAGGGGTCAGGCAGCCAGAGAAGGGACTCAGCCTCCTGGTGCAGCATGTGCTGGGGAAGCCTCTGGATAAAACAGAGCAGCTGTCCAACTGGGAGAAGCGGCCGCTCCGGGAGGAGCAGATCCTCTATGCAGGTCTGGCCCTGGCTGGGTGCTGCAGGTGCCCAGGCCAGGCTGTGTTTGGCTGCTCTGGCCCCGGGAAAGTCGTTAAGTAGCAGAGGAAGAAAATGGCTTTGCAGATTAGTTCCTGTTCAAAGGAGTCAGCACATGTTTTGTTTGTCCTTTTGAGGACATGACTTTAATGGTTGAAGTTTAAACTGTCCAGTGATTCATTATTTCCCTTATGAAGGAATTCCTGTGCTTTGCAGATTTTGTCTGATGAAACATCACCTCAGTGGAAACTCCTCTCAGTAACTGAAAGGAGGAAAGTCCACTTCCTTCTGCCTCATTTCACAGCCTTCCTGGGAAACAAATGCTGTGTTCATTTGTCACAGTGAAGTGCTTGTTAGAGCCGGGTTTGAAATGGGCAGATATGGTGTCAGAAACTGCAGCACAGACTCAGGGCTGTGGAGGGACCCATAGAGTTTATTGCTGATTACCCCAGAGTCAGAAGTCTGGGTCTAAATCTTTTCCTGGTGCATCAAAGGACAGTCTCCTGATGCAAACCAGCCCTTTCTTAAATTCGACTATCCTTAAAGCTGACACAGTTCTCACAAAAGTTAATCACTGGACTTGTCAGACTGGCTGGGAGAGTTCTCCCATTGCCGTTGCAGGGAGCAGCAGCACACGGCAGTGAATGTGGGCAGGTGATTGCAAACAGCTCGGGCAGTACCTGCTCAGATGTTGTATCTCCTGGGGAAGTTCCCTTCCTGTCAAGAGGAGTGATAAGGAGCCGTGGGCAGGCTCGGGGACAATGGTGAGGAACAGGGGCTGGCTGGAGCTACCTTGTGGTGGTTGGAAGAGCCACACTGCAGTTTACATTGGGTTATTGGGTTAGAGTGGAGATGGCAGAGCCTGTCTTTAGGAGCTGCTGCCTTCACCCCCTGTGACTGTGGGTTCAGCTGTGATGCTCACGTGAGTCAGTCCTGGAGCTTGAGGGTATGACCAGAGGGAGTTGCAGCTTCACAGTTGTTCACAGTGGCTTTTACAAAGGTGGGGGCTCTTCCTTGCCTCAGGAAAACCTCTGGTTTACTTTTGAATGAGCCTCATATGAGCTGAGGCTTACATTCTCTTCCCTGCAGCCTCAGATGCCTACTGCTTGCTGGAGATCTATGAGAGGCTCTGCAAGGACCCCGAGAGATTCAGTCTGAGTTCAGACCTGACAGACAGTCTGGTGGGAAAACAGAGCAAAAAACCCAGGGCAAAAAAGCAGCTGAATAAACAAGAAGCACCATCACCTTCTGGACAGGTTTGTAAACATCTTCAAAGAGCTGCTTGTTGCTCAAGACCCCTGCAAATCACACACCGCTGCTCTCAGTCACACCTTTCACTGTGCACGGCTGTTCTCAGGACCTTTGCATTAAACATGCTCCTCACCCCTCCCTCCCATGACATTCAGCTCTCTCCTTGGCCTGCCTGGGTCCAGTTTTCCCTGCTCTTTGTGTTTCACTTGTCTTTGCACAGTGTGGGTGCAGATCTGTGTGCTAAGCCCAGTGAGCCTTGCTCATGGAAACGCTCCTTCCACATTTTGGGTTTGGATTCTGTGGCCAAGGTTTCAAAACTCTTACTTCCTTACTTTTCCTTTATACTGAGCTTCCACACCTTGCTTTCACACTGGGAATATCTCCTTTATTGTGTCTGGAGTAAAAGTCTGTGAAGTTAAAAGTAAATGATCCTTCAAAAATGCCTTTCTGCTGAAGGCTTGTCTCTGCCTCCTTGCCCACCACCACATTCCATGAGAGGCCTCTCCCAGAAGTTTGTCTTGTGGCAGAGCCTTAAAACTCCACCAGAGCTGTGCAACTCTGCTGAAGTATCTTGAAATGTGACTGGTGCCTCTCAGTAATAACATTTTACTTTTAAAATGGAGCCATTCAGTGGTTTGTGCACCTTTGGAAACCTTGGCACAAATCTCATTTTGTTATTGCCTGAGAAGACCCACTGTGTGTATTTGTGTATCCTGAGCAGCCCCAAGTGTGTGTGGAGCTCCTGAAATCCGTGCCCCTTTCTATGGCTGGGCTGAGATGCTGCTGACTGTGTCCACCTGTGTGTAAATGTGCATCATCCCTTGGCCTTCAGCAGGCAGGAGAACACTTAGCTGCTCCCTGAGCACTGCGTTCATGTGCACATTGTGTGTTACAGCAGAGCTGGGTGGCTGCTGCAGGGGTGGGAAAAGTGAACACTTCAGGCTTCAATCACCTTGGAAACCCATGGGTCATCCGTATGTTCTGTACAGTCAGATTCATCAGCTGAAGAGGCAGTAGGTAAAACCTGGACTGGGACACCAAAACCAGCAGACTTGTCCTGACTGCATCCTGCAGGACTCCAAGCTCTCTTTCTCAGTGTTTCCTTGTCTGAAGTGGAGCTAATGACTCTATCCTCCTTTATAAGCTTTTTGCTTTCTGCTGGCATGAAATGTGAGAAAAAAGCTCTGTATGACAGTGCTGGCCACTGGATAAACACTGGCTGAGAGCCAGCTGCAGCTCCTGCACATCTGCTTGAACAGCAGCAGCAGCCAGGGGTAGTGTCTCCAACTGTCCCAGCTTCAGGGGGCAGCTCCATCCCTTGTCACCGTGCTCTGGTGTCACAGCTGCATTGACCAGGGTCCTGCAGGAGCTGGTGACAGCCCAGTCTGCCCAGTGCTGCAGAGCCCTGGGTGCAGGTACCAGCTGCTGGGAACTGCAGCATCACACCAGTATTGCTCCTGGACCTGAGCTGGTTCCCATGGAGAGCCCAGGTGGAGCTGCCTGGTGTGCCACAGCATTCCCAGCTTGGGGCCAGCTCCTGCAGAGCTGATCTGCAGTGCTGGCTCCCTGCATAGCTGCTGGCACTGTCCTTCAGTCATCCCAGCTGATTCAAGTTCCTGGAGTCAAAAGCTGGACATTGGAAGTTCCTTAATAACTTCCCTTCTCCATGAATTTAGCTATTGTACTTCTGGGAGCCTCCCAAAGCCAAAGTCCTCCAAGTGCAGGAACTCCCCCAGCAGCAGACATTTGAAATAAAACAAACAGAATTCAGGCACTGCCTATTTTTAACCTTCCAAAGATAACAGAGTTGACGTGGTTGCTTTGTCTACCTGTTTCTCCCTTTGTCTGTCCCAAGTCGTAGCTTTGGCACATGCTTATTAATTATAGACTAATTTAGAGGAACATGAGCCTTGACTATGTTTCTGTGACTTCTTGAAGATGAATGTCTGTGCAGGGCACTGGAGGCTGGGTTGGCTCTTCTCCAGGGAAAGGCTGCAGGTCCCTGGATCAGGTGGCCAACTGGTCAGTGAGAGAATGGCAAATTCAGAATTAGCCCCATCATGTTCTGCCCCCTGCCCAGGTGGTGATGGCAATGTGGAAAGGATGGGAAGGAGGATCTAGAGGTGCTGCAGAGCATGGGGAGGTGGTGACACAGGTGGAAGGAGGCAGTTGGATGTGCCATGGTGGGTGAACTAACGCAGGGAGTAAAAACATAAATGTACTGGGAATCAGACTTCTGCTCCTTATGGATCTCCTGCCTTTCTCTAGGAATGCCAAGGACCCAGAACAGAGCCCTCACGCCCTCCTGCCCCCATCTCCCCCCAGGAGTTCAGCGTGGTCTGTGACAACATGCTGCAGGGCCTGGGGCGCTACCTGCGCTGCCTGGGCGTGGATGTCCGGCTGCTGGACAATGAGGATGACCACAGGAAAGCTGCTGAGGTGAGCTCACAGCTCCCGTGTCCATGGGGACGTGATGGCACTTACTAGGAAGCTGCACTGGTGCTCAGGCTGCAGGAGCTGCCTCATGGGTCCCTCCTTCCATCCTTGTGCTGATTCCCAGATCTTTGGGTCACCCTGAGCTCTGGCAGAACCCACCAGGGTCATTTACAACAGCTCCTGTCCCTGCCCAGACCCCCCACCAACCCCACCCTGGGCATCCCTGGCAGCGCTGGCCAAAGGCTCCTGGAGCTCTGGCAGCCTCGGGGCCGTGCCCATTCCCTGGGGAGCCTGGGCAGTGCCAGCACCCTCTGGGGGAAGAGCCTTGCCCTGAGCTCCAGCCTGAGCTGCCCTGACACAACTTCATGCCGTTCCCTCAGGTCCTGTCCCTGGTTGTGGAGCTCTGGCAGCCTCGGGGCCGTGCCCATTCCCTGGGGAGCCTGGGCAGTGCCAGCACCCTCTGGGGGAAGAGCCTTGCCCTGAGCTCCAGCCTGAGCCTGCCCTGACACAACTTCATGCCATTCCCTCAGGTCCTGTCCCTGGTTGCAGAGAGCAGAAATCAGTGTCTGCCCCTCCTTTTCCCCTCACCAGGAAGTTGTAGCTGCAATGAGGTCTCCCCTCAGTCTCCTTTTCTCCAGGCTGAACAGACCAAGTCTCAGCCACTCTCATACAGCTTCCCCTCAAGGCCCTTCACCATTGTCATTGCCCTCCTTTGGACACTCTTGAATGGCCTAATGTCTTTCTTATTTTGTGGTGCCCAAAACTGCCGTCAGGGCTCGAGGTGAGGCCACCCCAGCCCAGAGCAGAGTGGGACAATCCCCTCCCTCGACCAGGCTGTGATGCTGGGCCTGATGCCCCCAGGACACAAATGTCCCTCCTGGCTCCAGGGCACTGCTGACTCACATTCAACTTTCTGTCAACCAGGACCCCCAGGTCCCCTCTGTGACGCTGCTCTCCAGCATCTCATTCCCCAGTCTGTTTGTATACCCAGGGTTGCCCCATCCCAAGTGCAGAATCTGTCACTTTCCCTTGTTGAACTTAATCTGGTTGGTGATTGCCCAGCTTTCTGATTTGCCCAGGTCTCCCAGAGGGCCTCCCTGCCTTCGAGGGAGTCAACAGAGATATCCAGGCCACACAGTGTGTGCTATCAAATGTGCATGGATCACCCAGCCTGGTGTGCAGGATGTTTCCTCTTCAGATGTCTGCTTGGCCTGAATCCGCGGCAGGCTCTAACTTCTGCAGAAATAATTAATATCTCCTCCCTGCCAAACTTGCACAAGTTATTTAAACAAACCAGTTCTCAGTGCCTCCCCCCAGAGCCCTGTCTCCACTTCTCATCCCCATCCCTTATCATGCCACGGACAGGATGTTTGACATTGCTTTCTCTATGGTGACCAGACAAACATCCTTTCACTATCAAAGCCCTTGGAGTGTTACTGTATTGCAGAGCCTTTGATCTGGGCTTGGATAATCAAAGATAAAAATAGACTCCTCCCACCCTGTTTGATATCTGGCTGGTCCTGATTGAATCAAAGTTGAATGTTGACCACCCTACGCCCAAAAACTTGGGAATGTTATTGCAAAGGCCAGCAGAGGGTTTGGGTCCTGGTCACTGAGTACAAGACAGATGGTTTGGGTGTTGTCCCATTATAGTCTCAAACTGGTGTCACTAGGAACACCTAAGAGTGTACAGCATTAGTGTTTGCTCTTCATTAAAGTCTTTTCACTCAAATGATTTATCAGTCATACTATACTTCTCCTTGTGCCAAGAACTCCTGCAACACCTGGCATTTGCTCCTTATTGTTCTCATTCCTTTTCTTTGTTAAAGTGGCTTCAAGTATTGGTGGGCAGATGGGTCTGGTCCTTTACCCTCTTTTATTTGGGATCAAGCTTAAAAGCCTGAGAACTTCCTCAGCTGTGCTTGGGCAGTTATGAATTTGTTTTTTTTGTTTTTTTTGGTTTTTTTTTGTTTTGTTTAAGCTAGCACACGTGGCAGGAATTGATTTGGCAACCCCCATTCCCATGGATATGAAACCCTTGCCCTGTGTTATACTTCATGTTGTGCTGTTGTTATTGACTAAATGTTTTATCTTGGACTTGTCATGGTGAGTTTGTCATGCCAGATCTGCAGAGGTGTGAGAGCAGGCCCTCTGGCACCATGATCCTCTGGCTGACCAGATTTAGACCAGATTTGGTGGTGGAGTTGGCAGTGCTAGGTTTGTGGTTGGACTTGATGACCTGGGAGGTCTTTCCCAGCCTCAATGATTCTGTGGTTCTGTTTATCTGCTGTGAGATGCTACCAGCTTTCAGTCTCTGATTTAATGATGACATTTAATTAGGACTTGACTGGAGAAGTGACTGATTAAAGTTGCCTGTCGTAAGTGCAGATACAGAAAATATTTTAAAATGGGAAACCAGTAGAAATTCATGCCGAAAATGTCTCTAGTTTAATCTGTCCTCGTGTGAAAGGCAAAGAACTCACAGGCTGTCCTTACAGAAGCATTTTAGCTCCTGTCCATGAGCAGCAGCCTCTCTGAAGGGCACTGGGGGTGGTTTTATTAAGCCCTCTTACTCAGTGGGGTGGCCATGCTGTTTTTCCAATATTACCTTGCTGTCCTACCTGCTGTAGCACCTGCACACACCTGTGTGGCACAGCAGGTCTGCAGCTGGGGCTGGAATTAGTTCCAGTTGTGCTGGACAAGCTCCTTTACCTGAGAATTTTTGTAGCCTGTGCACTGAGAGCTGGTGGAATCCACCATGAGCTGTCCCCACCATCTCCTTGCCCAGCAGCACTGCTCACTGCACCTCGGGCAGGGCCTCTGCAGGGCTTTGGGCAGTGGCCCAGGCTGACCCAAGCCTGGCTCTGCTGTGTGGCCTCTCTGAAGAAGGGCTGTGTGCATCCAGCCATTCCTCCCCAGGGACTCTGACTCCAGCTCCAGGCAATCCATGGGGTAAAGAATGTGGAGATTCCATCTCTGGGATGCAGCAGATTCTGACTGTGCAGGTGCCACTTTTGGGTGATCCACCCTTTGCCTTTGCATTTACTTCTATATGCAACATGTTATTTGCAATTAATAAAAGTTTATTTTCTTAAAATTTTGCCCTGTGCCTGTTGTGTTCCTACCCAGGTCTTTCATGCCCCATCCCTGGAAAATTCCTGGTCAGGTTGGATGGAGGCTCTGAGCAGCCTGACCCAGTTGAAGATGCCCCTGCTCACTGCAGGGGAGTTGGGACAAGATGACCTTTTAAAGATCCCTTCTAAACCAAACTATTCTATGATTCCATCTTCTGCAAACTTCTCTTTGCAGAGAATCTTAAACCTATCTTTTGAGTTTTCCAGATAATTGGAAGGAGATGGAAAAGTAGATGCTCCTGTTTTCTCTGCGATTTTGCAGAATCCGGCAAAGCAGGGATCCTTGTCATACCAACCTCACAGGATCACCCAGCAGCCTGAGTGACTACAGTAGCTCCTGCAATGTTGCACCTTAGGGACAGAGCAAAAGGTTTAGGAAGATGTTCATAGTCTCTTAGGTTTCTAATAAAAGACTCAGTGGAATCTCAAAGCTGCTTCAGTTGTGTTCTGGATTAGTATAATTTATTTTTTGAATGGACTTTGCTCTTGGTCTTCAAAATCATCTTCATTTCTAAGGATAATCTGATGCTAAGGCAAACCTGGTATCTTTTGAAGTATGCTAATAACCAGAAGGCAGGCAAAACTGGCTTCATGAGGCTCCCATGCTGTGGAAGATTCCCTTGCAAGGTTACACCTACCCTCCAAAGCTCCAGGTGAACCAGTGAATTGCAGAGAAGGGCCAGGCTGGATGGATCTCAGGAGCCAGATAGAGCATTCTGCACCCAGATCTAAATTGCTCTAGACTAATTTGGAACCAGGTGACACAAAAGGGATTTTAATCCTGTAGTGAGCAGATCTTCACTTAATGGGGGAATCTAATCTTGGATCTTGTCTCAGCTTTGACTGGCTTTTTCCATATTTTTGATGTAGATGACATTCTCCAGGTTTGCTGATCTTTTTAGTCTGGTGGGAAGCTAAAATCAGAGAGGGCAGATGAAATAGCTGTGTTGCTTTTAAGGTGAAGACTTGGCTTTTGATGTTTGGTCAGCAGGAGAAGAAGGTCTTTCATTGGAGACCTTGATACAAATGGATCTGCACAGAGAAACAAAACTGGGTGGATGATTTTGGTGTGACATTTAAGGCCACATTACAAAACCAGGGGATAACTCTGTGCAATTTATACTTTTCAGGAATGCTGAAGAGAAGATTAGGGTTGCAATACTGGGAGAGCTGGACTGAGTGTGCTCAGAGCTCTTAAGCTCTTGGTTTACTGTCTCTTTTAAAAGAGCCTGGGATTACAGGGAGGGTTTGGATGGGTTTTGTGATCCACTTCTCCAGCAGATCCTTGTCTGGGTGCTTACCCAGCACATACCCTGATACAGACACTTTCTGTCCACTCCCTTTTGGTCTGAAGTGGGGCCTTGCTGGCCCAGGCTCAGGATCACTGCTCGGGGAACACAGCTTTTCCTGTACTGCAGTTTGGCTCTCCAAAGACATGTGGCATTGCCCAACATGTGTCTTGCACAGACTTGGCAAAGTTTAACTTACAAATCCACAGCCTTGTGCTGCTGTTTTTTGGAACCTCCTTTGGCCTTTGTTCAGGACGCTTTAGATTGTCACGAATCATCCTGCTGCTGGTGCTGGCTTGGAAACAAAGGGGCTGTCTCTGCCCTCTCTCAGTTGTTGCCCTTCCAGGTCTCTCTGACAGTAATTCCTGTGGGTTCATTCATTTCTGCAGGGTGGAAGTTGGCTGAACAGACAGACACGTTAAGGGATAATCAGTAATACCAACAGATTAGAGAGTGCTTTTTATCCAGAAGGTCTGAGCCTTTTCCAGAGGAAGTTGATATTATCTTTGTAATAGATTGTGAAACTGAGGCCAATGCCCTCTCTGCAGCACTTGGGCTAGAGCACAGGTCCCTGACACCCATGCCAAAATGCTGCCCTGGGTGTTCTTTTCCTCTCATTTGCATCCCTGACCACACATCCCCCCATGGTCCCAGTGCTGCCTTCCGTTGTTGCTTTTGGAGAAAAAGAAGGAATTGTGCCCTTTTCTCCAGCACATACCCTTTGTGTCTCAGTCAGATGTGTGCTATCACATGGCTTTTCTGGCTCTGTGTGCTTCTCCCAGTCGTTGTTCCAGAGGCAGAAAAACATGTTGGAAGAGTTATTGCTTTTCTCCTTTTTATTTGATGTTCTTTGCCTGTCTCTGCAGAGCCATTTAGATAAGGGGATTTATCAAGCTTGAACTAATTAACCCTGGATGCGGAAAGTCAGAATGGAGTGTTCCAGCTGTGAAGTCCTCAGACTTACCCTGAAGCAAACACGGGTCTGGAGGAATTTCACATCTCTTTTCCCTTGTCAGCAAATCCCTGTGGTGACCTTTTGCCGTTGCCTTACCAGACCTCCCTCACTACAGTGCCACAAGGGTGCTGTGGTGGCTGCTCAGCAGCAGGACTGCATGGGGTGTTTGTGCTGCCCCTTCAAGGCTCCTGTTCTTAGAGGTTTTTTCTTTTATTGAGAAAGAGAGGGTTGATTTTGAAAGAAATCCAGTAATTTTGCCTGTATAAAGATGTTTTAGAAGTTGTTGCCAATCACTTTCTCAGTGCAGAACTTCCAGCCAAAGAGTGACTTCACAACTAAAGGAGGGAAGCAGATACCTGAAAGCTCAGGAAGAGGAAAAGAGGGAAAAAACAGGTTGCTTAGCTTCCTGCACAGGACCTTCAGAGCCTTCTCCACCTTGTTTCCTGTTGCCATAGGTCCAGTGAGTCTTGAGAGAATGACTACCCAAGACAGAGCTTAAAAGTTGTGGTTGGTTTGTCTGCTGTTCCCTGGCTGTGCTCACTGGTGTCTCTCTGGGAAGTGCAGCAGGACTCTGATCCCAAATGTGTCCTCCTGCCAAGGGTAGAGAAGGATCCAGACAGAGCTGCTGCACTCTGAACCAGATGAGAGACCTCCATGACACACATCTGGAGTCAGTGAAAAACATGAGGGCTTCTAACAGAATCCAAGCCAGAGGAGAAAAATAACCTTGTGCCTACTTCAAAGCACTGATCCCTTGTCAGCAGGATCAGAGCCGAGTCCTGGTTCACATGGGAATCCTTGTGAATCCTCCTATTGCTGCAGCCATGAGGCTCTGTCCCTCCTCCAGGAGGGTGAGGGGTGGGAGGAAGGGTGTCATTCAATCATGTGAAGGAAGGTCAGTCACACTTCCACCCTTGCAGCTCCAGACTGAGTGCCTCCCTTTGGCAGTGACCCCTCTGCAGTGTCCCTCAGCCTGTGTGAAGGTCAGCAGAGCAGTGATGAGCTCCCTGGGAACTCAGCACAGACCTTCCATTGAAGGACCAGGCCTCTGACAAAAGCTCAGGATTCCAAGTCAGGAGGTGATAAACTCTATGGGAGATGTTCCCTGCACCCTGGAAAGGTGCAGAATTCCTGTGTGTTGGGTTGCCAGGACAATACACCCTCCTTCTCTAAGGAGCAGTTTTGTTAAAGGTATGAAGCTTGCAGACACATTTCATGGTACTTTTTTTTTTTTCTAGAATTACCTGCTTAGGTTTTTTTTTCCTTTTCCCCCTGTGCAGTAGAACTGTTTCCTTCTTTATGATCTAGACTGGGGAAATAGAAATAGTCTGGGTTAAGGGAAAAAATGAAAAGATTGTTTTTGTATAGGATTGTTTCAGGGTGGAATGGTTCCCTGGGCCATATGTGTTACAGATGCACCAGCAGCTTATTCCAGCACATGGGACATGAGGCAGGGCTTGGCAGGGAGGGGACACAGGGTGAGCCATACCCTGAGCTGCACTTGCTGTCAGGAACTCTTGGCCAGGTGTGGACTGACACTGAGAGAAGCACTCAACATCTCCAGTTCACTTCCTCTCTTCTGTGACTGCAAGTAAATCTTGAACTCAGTGTAACTTCAGCCCCTGTTCATTTGGATAATTTGGATTTTTTACTTTTTTTTCCAGATAGCCCGACAGGAAGGAAGAGTCATTTTGACCTCCGGACTCCCATATCAGACTGTGAGTGTTCCAAGCTGCTGGTGTGTTTCTGGCACTGATCATTGCATGGTCTGGGGTGTGCAGGGGAGACAAGAGGAAAAGTCAGATGTGAATGCAACAGCTGGCTTGGATTTTTCATGTTTTCTCCACTAATAGCTACATTTAGGCTCTTCAGAGGTTTGCTGTTCTCAACCACCAAGGCTCAGGGTGAAATGCTTTTTTATACTTACATTCAGTGTGTATCATGGGGAGAGCGATTGCTCTCCATTGGGGGTGGGGGTGGAAGTCAAGCCAAGCAATCCAGAACAGTGTGTTTCTGTCTGGCCTCACTGGCAGGTGAAAAGGCAGCTCAGTTTCTGTGCTTTTTATCCCAGAGATTCTTGCTTGCTGGCTGGCTCCACACTGAGAGAGTTTCAGCCCTCAGGGACATTTCTTCAGGCCTGGAAGGGGGAGATTGGAAGGCCCCAAGCATGGGTCTGGTGGAAGCTGGAGAGGTTTTGTGTTGCTATAGATAAACAGAGAGGCCAAAGCAAAGGCCAACCTTGCCCTCAGCACCAGCTGTTCAGAGCTGTTCACAGACACGCTTCAAAATGCAGTGCTGAAGCTGCCAAGTCAGTGCTGTGATGTCCTGTTGCAGGTTCTCTGCAATTTTTTACTGCCTAAAAATCCATTTGGAAGAGTGAAACTGTTCTGGATGAGCCAGAGTTCTGTTCACATGAGCCAGGGTGCAGGACTTCTTTGTCACAAACTGTCAGTATAAAATCTCCCAGCTACTCGGGCAGCCACTCAGAATATTTGCAGAACAGGGGTTGCTGACTTCCTATGGAAAATCAGAGTGGAATAAAACTCCTCCCATAATGAGACACTGTGAGGCAGGTGCAGCCACCCTGCAGGTTCCTTGAGCCTACAGCTGGTGGAATAGGAAATTCAGCATCCAGCATCATCTTGTTTGGCAGAGCTCTAACTTCAAAGTACTGTGTAGGAATTGCAAAAGGAAAATAACTGCTTCCAGGGTACAGTACTCCTGGGAAATGTCTGGTTCCCTCCATTCCCTTGCCTTTGGACGCCCTTCACAAGGATGGGATGGCTCTGCCAGGCTCCTTTACTGGTGTATAGCTGATCCCACTCCTGTAAGTCCTTAGCATGGTCATGAAGATGTGTCTGGGACTTCCCAGTGCTCATTCCCAGATGCACTTCTCTGCAAAGTGTGGAACAAACATTGAGGGGCTGCCCACATCAACCCCTTCAAATTTCTTGGCCACCAGGGAACTCCACGTGAAACGTTTGTGTGAGTCAGAAGGGTTGAAGTGCTCACTGGACACTGTTTCCATCCTTGTGCTTTGGCACACTCTGTGGGATCTGGCTAAGTTTCATCAGAAATCTGGGATTGAATTCAGTTTCCTTTTGCTGCCCCTGTTAGGACCACCTCACCAAATTGTGAGTTGACAGGACTTGGGTATATTTTATAGAATAGAATAATGGAATTGTTAAGGTTGGAAAAGACCTTTAGGATGATAAGTCCAGCTGTTAACCCAGCATCACTATCATGGTCCCCACTAAACTGTGTCTCCAAGTGCCACATCCAGATGACTCTTGAACACTTCCAGAGATGACACTTCCAACACCTCCCCAGACAACTCATTCCAATACCTGACCACCTTTCTGTGAAGAAATGTTCCCTGAAATCCAATCTAGACCTCCCTTGGAGCATCTTGAGGCCATTTTCTCTTGTTCTATCACTTGTTAGCTGGGAGAAGAGGCCAACCACCCAATGGCTGCACCCTCCTGCCAGGGAGTTGTAGAGAAGGTCCCCCCGAGCCTTCCTTTCTCCAGCCTAAATCATGTTTCATACATATAAAATCATGCAGTGCTTCAGGAGTCAGAGTTCTTGCAGCAGTGGCTGTTAGGTTACCAGTTGTGGTGCTCAGAGCAGAATTCAGACTGTAGACACACCCTAACTCCAAGCATTATTCAGAATTCAAACCAAGCCAAGGGTATCAGAACAGCCCCCCGTGCCCTGACGCTCGGCCTCACTGGTGTCTCTGCTTTGCAGCTGCGCTCCCAGGTGGGAGAAGGAAGGTGTTTCTCTGTGAACTGCTCCGAGAAGGCGAAGGAACAGGCGCTGCAGGTGCTGAAGCACTTCAACGTGCAGGTGTCCCTGGGTGACATCTTCAGCCGCTGCCAGGTAGGACGAGGCTGGCTCCAGCCCCGGCTCCCGCTCGCTCACCGCTCCCTGCGCTGCCTCGGTGTCCTGGGCCTTGCACTCGGTGCCTTCTTGGTTCCCAAGAGTTCTGCTTGAACTTTGGCAGCACCTGGCAAAGCCGTGAGGAGTTCTGAGTGCAGTCACATCCGTCACAGTGCTGAGGGCTCAGTCAGAGGATCAGAGGCTCTGCATCTGCAGCTTTGCTAGAAACTCGCCTGTTTTTCTGATTTTTGGTACTTGGCCTGTGTTTTGGCATCAACTGTCATGGTTGGACTCTCTTTGTTGCTGTGTTCTCTGTCTAGGACACATGCTGTTTTAATTATAAACCATGTTTAATTATGGCTCTGTGATTCTGTTAACACTTAATTACTTTAATAGGAGGATTTTTTCATAGGACTTCTTTTTTTTCCAGAAGCTATTAGGTTAATTCATGTCCATGCTAGTTGATGGCTCCAGATTGTGTTTGGCACAGGATATCTGTGGATTGCTGTTAAGAATAAATTTTAATTCTGTTAGCTCAAATCACCATCTCTTCCAATTTTACTATTGTGTTTGTTACAGCAACACGCCGAAACCTATCCCTTCCCAAACTGCATTATAAACCAACAGGGAACTTCAACATCTCTCACCTTATCAGTGTTTAAAGAGAGAAAAAGAAGCAAGTTGGTTAGAAAGTTTGCTTTTTCTTAGGGATAAACAAGACAATGAGTCTGGCTCGGTGCCTCATGGTGGAGATCTGGGGTTTCCTGGCCCAGTGGAATTGCACAAGTGGTGTAGGAGCAGACACACCAGAGAGCATGTTCTGAACCTCTGTTTATATCTGCTGTCAGATGCTGAAACTGGATCTGTAACTTAGAAAGCAAATGAGAGTTGTCCAGCTGGGCAGGTTGGCTGTGAGAGGAGACTGACGAAACTCCCTGCAGGTCAGATCCACAGAACAGGGGTTCATCTTACTGCAGGATAAATGGATATATTCAGCTATGGGATACTGCCTTCAGTCCTGTGGTTTTATTGTCCCAGAACAGATTGCAGTTGTTATACATACATATATTTATAGTGGCATGCTGACTTCTTGGATGTTTTAAACAAACCTTTAAAAAACCTCATGGATTCTCCAGTTCCCTGACATCCCATACAATAGCAGTGTTCCTCCTAATGGTTGTTGAAATACCACAAAAATAAGCGCACACACACGCAAAACCATGATGCAGGAAACTCTGTGCTCTCTAATAAATACACGAGACTGTGCAGCAGACAATGGAAAACTGACCCCTCACCCAGGATCTGGGGTCTGGAACTGGTTAACTCTGTGGGTTTAGTACATGCTGTCTTATTTTACAATATAAATAGGGGTAATCAATCTGGCTAGGAATATATACTAAGTATTCTTTTACTTCCAGGAGAAATGCCTTCCCTGGAAATTGTGGTGGTGGAACAGCTGCATGTTTTATACCCCTCAGCATGGGAAGATGCTGATTTGCCAAACCTCTCCCTGTTCTGAATCATATTTACCTTCATTTAAGGCATTGGCATTTTGGAGCAGATTTTGCTCAGCTGTCTTTGCACACAGCACAGGTTTGGCTGATGTGCTGCTGATCCTCTGGAGGAGAATCCCAGCTCTCCCAGCTGCATTTCCTGGGGTTGTGTGCAAGGGGAGCCGTGGGCTGCACAGGCAGTGGGATCCTCCTCCAGCACTCTGGAAAACTGACAGCCCACATCAACAGAGGCAATTTCTGCCTTCAGGAGGGTGCTCCAGGCCTACATGGCCTACAGAGACCTCAGCAGTTCTTTTATGCATCCTTCCTAAAACATCCTCATTCTTTGTAAACCTAATTGGGCTTAATTAGGACGGAGGCCGGATCCTGAAACTGCTGAGCTGTGCTTGCCAGCCTGTCTGTGCTGCTCCGAAGCTGGGTCACAGACCTTGTGGCTCCCAGACTGCTCTGAGGTCTGCTCCTCCTTGCAGAGCACTTTGCTGAGGGGTGACAGAGTGGTGACAAAGAGTTTTGGCTGCCCCTGCAGTGGGGGAGCACGGTGGGCACACAAGAAGGGCTCCAGAAAGCTGCGTGCTGCTGTGTCTGTGCTAGGCAGGAGGAGGAGGACGGGCATGAGCTGGGCCCCTCTCCTCATCTCCTGCATGGAGCTGGGCCTGACCTACCAGCACGGGATGGGTTATCTGTGTCGTCAGCCCTGGCAGCATGTCACAGGAAGCAATGTGGCATCCTGCCTGCTCCCTCTGTCTCATGGAGCAGGGACTTGTTTTGTCTCCTGGATTCTGTTCTGTAAATGACTGGAGTGAATATGGCAGCAAATGTTGTCATAACAATTAGTGCGTGTAGTGCGGAGCACGTGGTAAAAATAGGTCCCAATTCAATGTTGTACCCAAGACTGCTGGAAAATACGTTTCCTCTGTCAGCTCCCTCAGCAGGGATGGATGAGCTCTCTTTTGCAGATGTAAAGAATGGGCTTGCTTTGTAACCCTGCCAAAATACTGCTACTGTTAAAACAATGTCCAATACTGGCTACCTCTGTCTGACCTAGAGCAGCAAGTGCACGGGGAGTGTCATCTAGGAGCTGCTCAGCATTTCTGCTCCCACTTGTGCTGGGCTTCAGCTTGGCCTCTCCAGTTAAAGGCTTCAGGAGCAGGGACTGCTGCCAAAGGTGTCAGTGATGGTGCAGGAATGACCTTTTCATTCCATGTGTTCCTCAAGTGCTGCATTGTAAGGACTTAGTGATGATCCTGGTGAAGCCACCCCTGCAGAGTAGCTGGGCCTGGTGGCGTCTTTGGTGAGGAATGTTTTAGTGGAGCTGAGTGAAAATAAGACTAATTATATATTTTGGTGACATGCAAAAAACCCCTATAGAAGTTCTACATTTCATGGCCTTAAAATGTTACAAACCCATTCCTTGTATTTGAAATGCAAATACCACGTGCCTGTCACCTCTGCACACATTTGAGTATCTTGTATTTTTCTTCTTTCCAGATAGCTGAAATACTTCCTTCAGGAAGGGACAGTGTGAAATAATGTTTGGGGTGTTCAGACATGATCAATTCAAGATGCTGAACCCTTACAGTAGTCAGGAAGGTCTCTATGGAGTTGTTGGAGGCTGTTGTGGGCAGCCTTAGTGTCAGCTCACAGCCTGACTCACCCAAGAGATCAGTGATGCTCTGCTTTGCACATCTTGGAGGAGATTCTAACACAGAACTAGCAGTCAAAGAAGGAAAAAAACACCCAAACCTGCTGAAGAAGGCATGGGCTCCAGTCCATAAGCACAGACAGCTGACAGAGGGGTCATTTTGTTGTGGGGTGTAGTGGTTGTCCTCTCCTAGGTCCAGCAGTGGTTGTTTCCCACTCTTCCTGGTGCTGTCCCTGATTGGGACATCCTGCTGTGACACTTGGGTGTGGCCTGGTGGGACAGCAGGAGAACATGAACTCCATGACTCCATGTCATTCCCGTCTCTTGAAGGAGAATGAATTGCCTCTGGAGAACAGCCATGTTTTGGCAGGATCCATTACCTGGATGACTGGTGTGACTTTTGCCATCTTGCTTTTCCATGCCATGTGATTGAAAGTCCACCCAAAGCAGGTGTGGGCTACACCTCTGAACTTGCCACTGTGCCAGGGCCTTGTCACTGGCTGCTTGGTGAGCCCGAGGGCCCAGGACATTGCACTTCCCATGGCTGAGGTGTCTGGCCCAGCTGACTTGTGCCAGTGAAAGAACACTGGTGTGGAAGCAGATCAGTGGAGGCACAGGGCTGGCAGGCTTGGGGTGAGCAGTGCTGCTGACAGGGAAGAATCCCAGCTTGGATGGTGATAAACTGAGGAGATGAACACTGCAAGTTGTTAGCTTTACCCTTATATCACAAGGGTTTGTCACTATGGCTTGAAGGGACAACTGTGTTCAGTGTTGTTTGGGCTCACCAAGAAATTCCTCCTGGAATCTGGAAGAACCTTGTGGTTAAAGGTTTCTAACTGCTGTAAAACCCTCACTGGTGTGAGGCTCTGCAGCTGGGTTTGGAGCCAGGAGGGCCTGTCCATCTGCAGAAAAGCTGTGCTGGGCTTTACTGAAAAGTGTAGCTGCTGCTCAGCTCAGTCCTGGGTCCGAGGCTTCGCTCGGGTACGGGGTGGGGGGAGCAGGCTGGGGGACCCGGGCCCTGTGGAGCTGCTGTGCCACCCCCACTTCCCCCAGGCCTCTCCTTCCTTTCCCACCCTCTGTTTGGCTTGACCCTTTAGCCTTTAAGCTGGCTGGGGCAGGGACCCTGCTTGAACAATACCTTACTCAACAGGAGGCTGATCCCAGGTGAGGTTTCAAGGCTTTCCTGCAAGGAAAAATGATTGCAATTATATCCCCTGCAAAAATAAATGTGCAAGGGGAAAAAAAATCCCAGGCTCCAGCTGCAGTTTGTGCATCTGAACAGCCCCACACTGACAGGGGGGGATTATCTGCACATTCAAATAGGTTGTCTCTTGCACGTCACTGAATGCTCTGATCCTAAATAAGCAAATTACATCAACTATTCTGATGTCCTGTTTAACTTATGACCTCAGCCTGAGCACTGCAGGATATGAGAGATAGCTGCTCAATTTAATTGTCTGGAGATCTGATATATTTTTCTATTTTTTTTGCCCTCCCTTCCCTGCTTTTTCGGTTTCCAAACTACTCACCCCAGGTTTTACAAAGGTGTTAGCATGGGATTAGGAGTAGGCGGGGAGGAGGGGGGAGGAAGAGAGGAAACCACCTTTTTTTTTTTTTAAATTAGGTGCAAAAGCATTCTAACAGTTGCAGCAAATGTTTCTGGTTTTTTTGTGGTTAAGGTAACGAATTTCATTGCTGCAAAGCTCATCATGTGCAAGCTGACTTACGCAGAGGGAGCCCAGGATGGAGCAATCCATTTAGCAGGGACAAAGAAAAAAGCCTTATGATGAGATGGAAACCCTGTACTTGGGGCACTTTGTGAGAACCTTTGAAGCCAGCCTGGG